ATTAAATGCATTATCAAATTAAATTAACTCAATCTTTGGCAATTTTTTTTTTTGTTTCACTAAATTTTTCGTAATTAGTATTGCTGCAAATTTTTCTTATCGTTCTTTTCTTAATTTCATTTTCTTCTTTTTTTCTTTTCTATTTTTTTCATTGCCATCTTTAAATAGTACTTTTTTTTTAAATGAAAAAAAAAGGCGATGTTTACTAATTTAGTTACAAGGAATAAATTGTTTTAATGGTTTTTTAACAATGTAAAAGGAAAAGAAAAAAAGGGAAAGAAAATAAAATTTGCTATAAAATTGTTTTGACTTTTCTAAAAATAAATGATTGAAAATTTAAATGATTGAAAATTTTGTTTTTTTGTTTTTTTGTTTTTTTTTCTTAATAAAAAGTAGTTAGAAAAAATGGAAAGAGAGAGAGTGAGAGAGGGAGAGAAAAGGAAGAAAGGAAAAGGAATTTATATCAAGAAAAAGGATTTTTTTTTTTTTTTATCTTTAAATCAAACATTCGTAAATTATTTTCTTAAAAAAGAAAGAAAAATTCTGACATAAATAGTATTTCCATATTATCTAATAAGAGTAATAAATTTTAATCAGTAACTTAAGTAATAAATTTAACTTTAATTTTGACATTTTTTGATTTCAAAAAAGAAAAAATGTAAAATTTGTTCCAAATTAATTTATCTAAAATGATTAAATGAAAAAAGCTTTGCAATAATTTTCAAACTTTTTTTTTTCACTACTTACAAAATATATAATAAATATTTAAAAAAAAAGAAAAGAAAATTCCGGTTTTTTTATTATTTCAAATGGTTTGAAAATTTTTGAAATTTTATAATTTTCATATAAAATTTTCAAAATTCGTAAAAAAAATGAAATTTCACTTTAATTTATGAAATTTAATAACAACATTAACATATGTGGGAGTAAAAGGAAAAGATACAAAGATGTACTAAAATAAAATAATAATTCATATGTGATGCGATCACCATATCTGATGAGGTCATTTAGAAATGTTACTGTCATATCGAATGGTCATCACAGTGTACGATATCATCTTTTCTATCTCTTCTTTTTCCACTCATTTATCCAATGTTCTTTTTTGCAATATTCAAACCACTGCATAAATCTAGCAGTGATCAAATTTATTCTCAACAATCATCATCTAATATCCCACTCGATAAATTTATCAATTTTTCTTTCATCATTCCTGATTAAGCTAATTTCCCATCCATTCTTTCCTGATTTGCAATCCTGGTTTTATTTAGCTATCCATCAACATTCTGATATTAATATTTAGGGTTATTTTATCTAACCTTTGACCTTTTAATATTCTTAGTCCAGTCTTATCGAGTCTGAAATTGGAACTATCCAGAATCCTTTTTGATTTTTTACATTTTTTTCCAAAGTTCATTTTACTCGGTGTAGCTTGGCTCAATGTTACTTGTCTAATAAGTGACTGTTAACATCTGATATTAAACATTACTCTGTCCATTCTTTGACATTTTTAGCAATCTCAACTGTAGGATTGGAACTTTCCAGAATCATTTTTGATTTTTTCTACTTTTTCCAAAGTTCCTTTCACTTGTCCTAACTTGATCCCAAAATTACTTACCTAATTAGTTGTCCAATCCTTTTCGGTTGCCTTTTCTTTTCTTTTCCCATAAGGATGATTTTATATTTAATATTAGGATTTTTGGCTATTCGCTCCAAAACCATCAAAGACATTGGAATGATTTATTGATTGATTTAATTTGGGTGGTTAAGGACAAATGAACAAACAAACAGATGGACATAGTTGTACTTTTTTTTTCCTGTGGATCTTTTTGGTCATCTGATGGCGATTTCATTCAATCATTTTTGTAACCATTGTCCCAAAGGTCTACTACAGAACATGAATTTTATTAATATCAATTAAAATGTTTTGTCCAGCATGTCTTAGTCGGAATCACTTCTCTCATCATTTTACGGTATTCATTCCGGATTAACAAAAAGAAAAAGAAAACGCGTCATTACGTTATTCTGGTAACAGTATTAACTGTCTATTCTTTTATCATTTTTCTTTTTCATAATTCTTAGTTTTCCACTCATCTTTATCATTTATATATTATACCGTTTCACGCTAACCTGTTTTGTTACGTGTGACGTACGTGTGCAAATGCATGTGAGTGGATGAAAAACGTGAGGTTTGTTTGGATGAAAAAGAGCATAAGTTGAAAAATGTTGTATAAAACACTTTATGAATCATGTTACATGTTCAGATTATATCAGTGTTTTAATATTCCTAACTTTTTAAAGATAATTTTTTAATTAAATGTGACATTTCTAATGATGTGACATTTCTAATGTGACATTCACTCTTCTTCCTCCCTTTTTGCTAATTAAGCAACTTAAAAACAAATAAAAAATGCTTGTATGCAGTTTAACTTATAACATACATGCTTATTCAAATACGCATGCAATGGTCAACATGCACTAGATAGCATAATGGATACATGCATATATTGCTCGCATGCATTTTATAATGAATAATGTATTGCTAGCATTGATTTCTTTCCGAGGATGGCAGGAGAAACATTCCAATGTTGCTTGCATTCCATCTTCTGATTGATTTGTACCATCTTATAAATGTATATTGCCTGCATGTATTTTATCGCAGATATATTGTCTGCATGCATTTTATCACAGATGTATTGTCTGCATGCATTTTATCGCAGGTGTATTGCCTGCATGCATTTTATCACAGATGTATTGTCTGCATGCTATTTTTTTTTTTTTAATAGATGTATTTCATCCCATTGTAAAAATTGTATTTCTATCAATCACTGCGCATATTTTCTTTTGTTCGTCTGATGGATTGCATGTGAACTGTTATTGATTGATTGGTGACGGGGTTAATGCAACTGTGCTAATTGATTCAGTGATCTGTATGTTACTTATTGATCAAAAGGTCATTTATGTATGTGATAATTGGTTGAGGTTGCATTAACTGATAAGAAATTATTGCGCGCAAATTACACAATTATTATTGCCAATGCTATTTGATATTTGATAAGAGTAGGAATTCAAAGATATGAGAGAAAGTTTATCAAATCAAATATCTCTTTTCATTCTCTTCTCTTTATTTGGTGAGAGATCAATTGAAAGAACTAAAAGAAAAGAGAACTGAACATCATGTTCATAATTTCATGGAGAAAAGTAAAAAAAAAGAACAGGAAAAATGAAAAATAGAGATGGAAAGAGGAGTAATAGAACAAACTGGAATAAATGAATGAAAGAAAAAGTGAGAGAAAGTAGAAGAGACAGGGGGATGGGGGAAGGCAAAGAAAGGAAGAGAGAGAGAGAGAGAGAGGATTGATTTTTAGTCAAAATAACAATGAAATTATAAGTATGTTACATTGTATTCGTTCTAATCATAATTAATTAACATTCCTAATCGGATGTAAAAATAGAAATAAACTGATAATTTTCATTAATCTTGCTCATTGGATCATTTTCATCATCATTCATTATCATTATCATCATCATCATCGTCATCATCATCATTATCATCATCATTCATCATTCACTGAATTCATATTTGTTTCGTTTTTTTTTTTTTTTTTTTGCGATAAATAGTGCGATATGGATCCTTTTTTTTTTGTAATGGAAAAGAAGCGATTATTGAAGTAAAATGTATAACTTGTAGCAACAACAACAACAACGATAGCAAATATCATAGCAACGACAACAACAATAGAGGGAATAGCGAAAACAAAAAAAGAAAAAAAAAGAAAGGATTAATATGAAAAAAATCGATATAAATGAGTATACAATATCAATATCAACGTTGTTTCAAAAAATTATTCAACCAGTTAACTGATATAGTGACATTGCATTGTCATTATCATTATCATCATCATCATTATCATTATTATCGTCATCATTGCTCTAGCACGATCAGTAATAGCAGAAGGTGCAATAACATTATTGTTATCACCATTAACAAAATTAAAAACATCAGGAGTAAAAGCGGCAACACATTTGCAACAACGGTCAACATGAAGATAAGTATCAAAATGATAAAGATGATTAATTCTCCTAACATTTCATTACTTCAACAGCAACAATCTTCTCTTCATATTTTACTCAAAGCAAACAGCTGTCATTGTTGTCGATCAAATTTCAACTATTTTAATCATCCTTCTAGAAAACTTCATTATTTCAATCGAAATTTAAATTTTCAACTATGTTCTATTAGTACAAATTGTGATAGTAGTAATATTGCAATATTACCTTTCAACAATAATCCACTCTTTTGTTTCATTCATCCAATTCATCATCATCATCATCATCATCATCATCATCATCATCATCATCATCATCATCATCGCCATCATCATCAGCAATTGAATTGTTTATCAATTGATAAACAATTAAAATTTTTCGGTCGAATTTATCAATATTATGTTATAATTCTGGCAAACGTTTTATCATCACTTCGCATTGTTTAATTAATTTTTGTACAAATTCTTATAAATTATTACTGAAAAATTATTATCGATTATTATTTGCTAATTTAAAACATTTCCTTCATTGTAAATTTTCATCTCTATTATTATGCATTAAATATAATTTACATAATATACATTCAAATACTTCCATTTTATTCCATTCTACTATACATTCATTTTTGAAGTATTACTATCCAACAATATCTTACTTCTCACGAAATTCACTTCTATCAAATTTATGGCCTTATCAATGTCTTCATTATCAGAATCGTAGTTATTCTAATTGTTTCATTACCACTACTACAACTACGATTACTACTACTACTATCACTACTACTACTACTACTGCTACTACTACTACTACTAATCTTGCTAATACTGCTACTACTACAACTACTAATACTTGTACAAATAGTGCTGCTATTACTACTCCTACTACTGAAACTCATATTACTGCTTCAACTGCTACCGTTAGAATTATTAACCCACTTATACAATCATATCATAAACGGTTAAATTGTAATTATCAAATAACAAAAATGTCAATGTTTTATAAATTGGATAGTATAGTACAAGAGGAAGAGGAAGATAATACTGTAACATTTCGTTTATATGGTACCAATATGCCAGTAAAAGAAGTATTAACAAGTACGGATGATGATACAACAACGGTTGTTATCGGGTATAAATCACCAGATAGTATCAATACTAGTGACAATATCAATAATATTACTGATAATAAGAATGAAATATCATCATCATCACCATCATCATCGCCATCATCATCATCAACGAAATCATCATCAACATCAACATCAGTATCAGTAGCAAAGTCATCATCACCATCATCGGCCAACTATGAGAATCATAATTACGAAGTTAATTTCCATACAACCGTTTCAGCATCTGTTGTATTATCCAAGAAACGTAGCACATCCAGTAGTAAAGTTACCGATGGTGATCATGTACAGGCAAATTATTGTAAGTTACTTTTTTCTCTAAAAAAAAAAACGATTTTTTCTTTACCTACTATTTAAATTTTGTTTTTCGTTTTTCGATTTTACATGTATATATATATATATATATATATATATATATATATATATATATATATATATATTATTTATTTTAATTTTTAACTTTTAACTTTTATTTATATTATTATTATTATT